AATTGATATATATATTTGAACCTTATGTAAAAACCATGTGTATAAACATTAAATTCATTTTCCAATTTTTTTAAGTATAACTATTAAAATAAGTACTCACTAATATAGTTTTTAATATTTCTCAAAGTTTTTAAAGATTTTATGAATAAAGTAGAATAGTATAGGATACTACTTGAAAAATTATTTTCTTAATAAAGACTTAAAATTATAGAAATTTAAATCGTAAAAATTATATTGTTTATCCAAAGGAATTTAAGGATTTGATCATGGTTGACCTTCACGCCAGGTAAGGAGTTTATGGATTTATCAAATGATTGGTCAAAACGAAATATCCGTTAAAGTATTGTGAAAGTGTTTTAATGTTCACGCTTTTTTCGATATTGTATGAAAATAAAATGTTTGTTATTTTATTCCATAATATTTTTCTTAGAATTGACTTGTACTATAGAATTATTTGTCTGAAATTCATAATTTCATTTAATATTGATTATAAAACAGTGAAAAAAAGTTATGCGCCTTTCAAAGTCAATGACATTGTTGAATGTAAAAATGAAAAAATTGAAAAAATTAATGATTGAAAATCATGAAAAAATTCCAATTCAAAAGCCGATTGGGTGACGATAACATAAATACGTGTGTCCTTTTTTTTTCTTAAATTAAGGCATTTGCAATAACAAAATAAAAACAATGGTAAGGTTAATATATTTAAAAAATTCTGTTATAATTACTATAAGCCACTATGATACATAATTAAATCGTATAATGTACTAATTTTTAATGTATGTATTTATTTATAATCATGTAGGTATATATTCGTGTTTATTAATGTATGTACTAAATACAATAAAATAAAGTGTTATTTAACCAAAATTATTAATACATATAAAAATTAACATAAACTTGGCAATTAATATTACTTATAATTGTTGTTTGCAGGCTACAATCTAGAGTACCTACTTTTATGGATGGTGAAATATATTGTAATAACTTATAGACAATAATGATTCAAGTCAATAACATTTCCTCTCTGTTTTTGACGTAATGAATTAATAATGATAGTGTGTAAATATTTTTCTTCCTGATAACTTTTTATTACGTAATACTTTTAATAGGTATACCGTTGTCATATACTCATGGTAAATATCTTGTTTTAAATTACTTTATTTCAATAGCTGTATAATAAACATTCATTTACTGTGCACACGTGCGCCATTCATTTGAGAAGATCATGTATTTTTTTAACATCATATATATATATATTTCTATATGCACACAAATATAATAGAAATTATTTAAAAAAAATTCAAAATATTGCATTTACATAATTTTTGTGAATATTTTTATTTTATGTGAAAGGATAAAAATACAACAAGAAATTTCCATATTCCGAAAGAAAATATAAACAATAATTGTATATAATCATTGCACAAATAAAATTATAAGCTGGGAGGGTATAAGACATTGTTGAAATTTACTTGTAATATATACATGCAATTATATGTATGAAAACAATTACAATTTAAAAACTCCACAGAAATCATAATTATTTTCACTATTGTTAAAATTATCACAATGTAAAATAAAAAAATATATTTTTTTGTTCAAACAAGATCACATTTTCCAATCTCCAATTTCTCACTAAGCAAATTTATAATAACAAATTTTTTGGTATCAATTAAAAAAGAAAAATTCTGTTATTTTTATGTGCACTGATTTACCATCAGAAATGTTTCAAAAAATTTGTTGTCAAAATATAAAATGAACAACTTAAAATTGGTTAAAACTTAATCAATCTTTTTGTATAGCGTTATATTTTTTTATATAGTAAGAACATTTAATCCAAAACTATATTTAGAAATTAATTTTTTTCCAGCATTATAATTTTTAAATGATTCATTGTGTTTTCCACTTTTATAAGCACTATTTGGTGATCATATAGGTACGTAAATGATTTATGTATAAACACATTATACACTGTTGATTGATATTTAACGTGGAGCGTTGAGAAATTATCAAGCCACAGGCAATATCTGATTGAACGATTTAATTTTAGAAAAAAATTGTTAATCCTGATCAAACAAATTGTTTTCTTTGTATTGTAGATAATATACTCGTACTTACGCCTATCTCATGATAAATATATGATTATTACTAATTCACAAATTATTATGTTGTAGGAAATATAAATTGCAAAAAAATTGTTTTCGTATCCCGACTACGAATTTGGTATCTAATCGCGCGTGTAACAAATGAAACTTGATTACTGACGGACGATTTTTCATTCGAAGGCTCGAAGGTTACCTATTATACTGTAAAGTATGTATAATGGATAGTTAGAATTATAAGATATATGTAAATAAATAAATACACATTCATAGCTATTTAAATAATCGAACGCAGAACTGACGGCAACCCCTTAGGCAGACTATTAAAAGTTTTCAAAAATAAAATGTTGTTTGTCTCGACTTATATCAATAATACCTCCACCTCAATATACTAATATAGACATTAGACAGGGTCACATATTGTACCTAATGAAAAGTAAAAATTCTGTTTCGTTAAAATTAGATATTAACGAAGAAAGAGTAGGTGATCGGTTTCAACGGCGTTCTCCATGTATTATATTCAAATATCAAAGAAATTTAATTAAATATTTTCCGCCTTTATTTCAGATTTCAAAAGAAAATATTTTATATATTATTCTATAAACGGATTTGTTGAGTGTAATTTTTTTTATACATTATTTTTAACCCACATAGTTGCACATTTTTTAACGCGGTAAATTATATTTTGTTAGACTTATCTAATAAACTGGAAATTACACTAGTATAGAAAGTGTACTTTGATTATATAAAATATTGTATCTGTAAAATATAGTACTTTAAAGTTATAGTATAATTAAAAAAATATTTTTTTATTAAAAATAGCGTGGCAATTAAATACTATAAGAAAAAAAAAGAAATATCACAAAATCATATTTTTTTATTTTTATTTTAATAGCAATCGAATATATTTATGTATTATAGTTTATAGATTGGAAACCGGAACAAATTATCATTTTCCAAATATAATATTGTTTGATTTTTATAGGTATTTAAATGTCGACTTTTGATTTCGATGCTCTAAATGAAGGATAAACTCTACACTCAAATACATAAACATTATTACATAATTCGATAAGAAAAATTAATTTTAAAATGTACCTTTATTTATAATTCAATAAATTACTACCATACGTATAGAATAATTGTTGAATCGATTTGGAGCTCTAAACGCAATAATTACATAAACCCGTTCCGCGAAATAACACCCAAACAAAATTGCGCTTTATATTTTTACATATTTGTTGTATGAAAAAAATTGTACTACAAGGTCACTCAAAGTATGTGGGGATAAAATATCTAGTTTTTAATCTCTCTGCTTATATAATATTTATAAATACATATTAAAATGTATCTATATACTTATAAACTGTATTCAAGGGCACTTTGTATACTCGACAGCGTTGAATATTGATTAAATAAGTTTCATATTTTGTAATTATAATTGTATCAACGATGAATTCTGTGGAATCTGACTGTTGTTAGGTATTATTTTTCTTGCGTATAGTTTTCTCAGTAAAATCGGGTAAGTTTATAGTTTTTTTAAATATTTTATAAGAAAGACATATTTAAAAAGTTCTTATTTTAAATTATATTTAAAAAAAATTGTCTTTTTCAAGAAACACATTGAGAAATCGTTTACTATAATGACTTATTTATATTTCACAAACTTCAAATGTAAAATATGATCATTAATTATGTAACATTTTAAATACATTCAAATTATAAATGAATTTGTATGGTTATATTTTACACTGTTTTAAGTAATAAAACTATTAACGATTTTTATATTAATGTCATATTATAAAACGTCAAACAAATTTTAAATGTTCAAAAATGGTGTTTATGTTTTGTCCGTAATTGTAAATTTTATAGAAAAAATAAGAATATGAATTTCAACAATCAAGCGGCAATACATTTTTTTTATATAATAAAGAATTTTGTGTTTTACGGTTTAAAATCTTAGTACAAGGCTAATCATATTATACGATAACACATAGTAGTTTTCGTAATACATATATGTTCTAAAATACCGGAAGGTTTGGTTCGGTCAACATTTTTTTAAATGTTTATAACTAACTAAGCACGGCATTTACTTATTAGTTGCGCAAAATATTCACATAATTTCAACATGAATAATAAAACTATTATAATGTATAAAATGCTTTATTTTTATTGTTATATTTCAGATCAAATACTTCGTACGTATCAACTCCGACATTCAGTAAAAATTGATTCTTGTTTTTTTTTTTTTTAATTTATAAATAATATAAATATAAATAAATAATACTATTTTTCATTTTCCGTTCCACATACAGTTTTAAATGCCTAAAATTGTGGACGTCTAGTAGCCATCTATGTATTCTAACCGGCAAGACCACGAAGAAGCTTTCGGTTTATGACGCCTACTCAAACCATGCATCTCACGTGACAGATTTTTAAAAAATTTGTCGCGCAATTATTTTTGTTGAACAATGTGATAAACGTCTTTCGAATAATAATAATACTGATAAACGATGAAGCGAAGCATTATAACCATGGTGTTATCGAAAACATCGATGCCATTTAGGTGTATTGTTTTTTAATCGGGAGCAAATATTTTCGAAAACAAAGAAAGCGGATTAATTTCGGATTTTGTCGATGGCGAACAATAAACATAGTGTTTGGAGTACACGTGAACATAATACTTGGACGATGAGGTGAACGCATTGCAAAACGTCGCGAGCTGCAACCGGTACAGAACCACGTTTACGCGGTGGTACGATAATGGCGCGCGCGCGTTTTTACCGTGCACCGTCTTAATATACACGTTGTGTCACGTCCCGTAACGGGTAAGTATAATACATCAATTAGAAGTCCGCGCCTGGGAAGCGCACTGCTATTATGGGTTATACTCACGTCGTCCTCGTCGTCGCGCACGCTGTTCATCCAAAAGCACATGGCCATGCATATCAGCACGGCACCCGATGCCACTAGTCCAACGCCAATGTACCGGACGGCCGGCACCGGTTTCGTGTGGTGGTCGGCTAATCCGAGCCAGTTGAACAACGCACCGATGCACACGAGCGTCATACCGAACCGATACGGCCGCTGCGATTCTTCCGGTACGATCAGTGCCATTTCCGGTGTCCGCTACGTGTATTTTTAACGTTCGCGATCGGTTACGCCGTCGACCACCGTTGTCTCGCGCGCCGGCGGTGCAGGTCTACGGGCCGGTCTAGCCGGTAATACTGTCGTAGCTGGAAAAAAAAAAAAAACCGAACAGATGAGCATAATTTATAGCGCACACACTGCAAGATAATTGTCTCGGTTCGCATATCATTTCGTTTTCGATCCTGGAAACGTTAACAAACCTCTGTTAACGATGAAAAAAATCGCATGGCAAACGCTTTTAACGCACAACAATTATGACGTATTTTATGTATTACGATATTCAAACACAACAGTATACCCATTTGAAATATACCAGTACGTCAACCGTCGGAATAAATATAAATATCGTTTATCAGTTTTGTTTTGTTATGATATTAAATTATAAATAACAATTATAATAACTATCTCGTACAATTGTTTAGTGGATATACATCATTAATTGTGATCGATTTTACAGCTAAAGGTCTACTTGTCTGATAAGCATACGGTAGATTTAAAATTATGAAACTACATATACGTTATATTCATATAAAATAGTGAACAAAACAAAGGATATCAATGCTCGCTTTCTTCCAAACAGCTGCGAATATTTCTGTTCATTAGAGACATGAAGATTATGTTCTAAAAAAAAAAAAGAAAAATTTTACTACCGATTTGAATTTTCGTAGTGATAAATATTTTTCTTGTTCTTCGTTTATCATTAGATATTTTTACTTTTTCAGTCATAGAATTTTACAAAAATTAGTTTTTAAGAATTTAAATATATTTATAATTAAAGATGAATACAATAGACATATTTTACAATTACCTATACTTTCATTGTTTTCGGAATATCGTGTCAACTGCATTTGTAAATAAACAATATCACCATTATTGACAGCAAATATTGTTAGTATCTATCCATCAAAATATATAAAATAATACAAACAAATAGGTATTATATTATATTGAGAGTTATATGAAAAATGTACGTTTAGGAGTTTAATGGTTTACAGAAACACTAGTTCCTACGTGAAAATCTAAGGTGAATGAACCATTTTTATTTGAATAAAAAAAAAGTAATTTCTTCGTTTTTGATTTGCTTTCTTTTTGTCAATTGTCTCTAATATAACAACAGCCGTTTGGTATCACTTCATGGTTCACCAAACGCAGCGTTTCACGCACTATTAGTATCACTTCCCTAACAACTTATGATGATCCACAATAAACACAATTATTTAAAAATTATTCAAAATATAGTTTTTATTTAATGATATTTTTCTACAGCAAAAAATTGTGTATTATTGGTATAAGTTAAATAATTTAATTATTTTATCAATGCTTCATAAATTAGAATTACATTAATAAAGTAGTTTATTGAAAAATAATAAAACTATATAAGATTTTAAACTACTATATATATATATATATAATATATTATATTATAATATTTTTTTTATTTGCTCATATTAATTGTACGAAAAAAAGGGAAATTATGTATAAGTCATTAATTTAAAAATAAATTAAAAGATTATAGCTGTATTTACTCCAAAATAGTTAACTTTGTTTTATAATTAAATGAAATAAATAATATATAAAATATATAAATAGTATATAAAAACAAAAACTTATGAGATATTTTTTTTAAATTATTATTTTTTAAATTTTTAGATTATAAATTATTAATGAATATTTACGTTATACAACAGCCTAAAAGCTTAATTTCTTAGTTCATAAAAATGTAATAAACTTGATACTTACTTGAATTTAGACAGTTTTAATATAATTGTATTTAAACATTGAAATTGTAATATATATAAAATGTTTGAAACTTTTTGTAAAAAAATTTATATTTTGATTGACATTTGTAATCGAATCCTTTAAAAAATACTATTAACATTCAATTATGGATTTTAATCTGTCGCGTAGTTTCCTAGATATTAGTAGAATTCAAAAATGTTTGATCATCGCTTTATAACAAATTTAAAAATAAATAATACATTCTATATAACACTGTATAGTTAATCTAACCGGAATATCAGAAGAAAACTTAATGAATACGGTTTAGATGAAATTTGTTTTCTTTACTTATTTATATCATACATTTTATCAAACTGATCCATTATAATTGCTATCAATTTTCAATTTGTTGTTAATGAGCGATATATTTCTTAATCTCTAATATTATCAAGTATTTTTTACTTGTAAAGGTTAATAGTTAACATTTGTTTTGGACACATTGTTTTCTACGCAAATTTTATACTAGACAACAATGACGCATATATTAAATACCTTACGACTATATTATGAAAACTACTATTTTGAGGTATGCTTAAATAACATTACATACGTCATATTATGTGTTATTCTATGTACATAAAATATTTTTACTACTTATAATCAGGAAAATTGATATGTGTAACACACATGTATATTTGTATGCATGAGTTTATTTTACACAAAGAATTCGTTGATTTAAATTTAAAATACAAAAACAAAACAAAACATCATTAGAACTTAACTAAGTATACAACCATTGATTAAATATACATATTATACGTATATTTAATCAATGATACAACTCCCTCAAAACTCATAAATCATATTTCCTTATCAATAAATTAATTAAATTTAATAATAATACAATAGTATAATTATGTTTATAAAATTATATTTTAATATAATTTATCTGCAAGATGTTTCTTAATACAAATGCTGTTTTTTGGAAAATGTTTTATTATTGTATCATTAATTTTTGTTAAGGAGATGGGATATCAATTTATAGTATAATTTCAGCTAAATTTCGAACTTTTTGAATACTACAATGAAAAAAAAGTATGATTGTTGTACATTATGCTACTAAAGAAGGAATGAAAAAAAAACTATTATAAAACTAAGTATTTGTATGTTCTATGTGAAGTTAAAAATAATAATATCAATATTTAAAATTGTAGTAATTTGTTGTATTAACTTAAATCATAAAATATTTGTTTTGATAAATAATTAACCATATAACTACTGATTACTATAATATAATAAATAGGTATTACAAAAAAATACGGAACAAATCATCACTGTTATTTATCATGTTGTATTACAATAAGTATAGAATAAAAACACCGAAGGTCGTAACTTTGATTCGTATAAAATTGACAGTATTTGTGATTTTCTTACAAAATTTCAGTATCAGCTATGCACCTGGTATTCAGTAAAATTATTCAGCAACAAAAGTACTCTATTCATTTTTTATAAATTTACAAATTTTGTACTGACTGTTTCTTTTGTAATTTGGCTTGTTGAACACTTTAACAAACAACCGATTTGTCAAATAGAGAACATTGATGTTACTTAGGTACATGTTTATTTTTTTAAATAAAACAAAAATATATTTATTACAGTTTTCATTTTAAATATTTTTTTTACGAAGTAATAGAGAATTATATATATCTAAACTTAAATTTTTTCAAAAAAAGATAATATTATAAATATTGTAGTTGTTAAACTACAGCTTAAATAGTAAATTTGAATGATCATACTATATTAGTATGGTTATACATAAATATAAAATCTCAAAGAACAATATATTATTTAAACGTTAAAATATATTAACATGTACAATTTTACTAATAATACTGATTGGATAGAAAATGGAAGAGCTTACAATGAGTTGAAAATCAAATATACTTAATTTAACATAAAATAAATACTGATATAGTATTATATGTGAGATTGGTAATTCGGAGTATAAGTTATAAACTAGATAGTTAGGATGAATCACTTATGTGATGCTAAATTACTAACAAACGATATCTGAGTGCAAAATAAATATTAGATATTAGTTTCTTTAGTTTTTATTATCAGTTATTTTTTGTTAAGTTTGTTTGAAATTGTTTGAAAATAATAAAGGTAAATGTTCCTTAATCAATAATAAAACAGTACCATACTTGTTCAAAAAATTTAATTTATTAAAATTACTGTTGCAATTGAAATTAAAAATAATTAAAACTGATTTATAAATATTAAACTTTCAACGTTATTTATAGGAGTTCGAACCTTAATAGTCAATGATTGTGATAATCAATTAATGTTATTTAAAATGAAAAATGAAAACTTAGAAATAATTAAATATAATTTGTACTATTTTAGTTAGGTAAGTCACTAATACATATTGATAATTAATAGATATGAATTGTATTGTTCAAATACTATTTGATTTTATTACTAAAATCAAAGAAATTCAATTTTTTTTTTTTTAATATTAACAGAGCAAATGTTGGAGAATATCTATACGTATATATTTAGTTGGCTGATTTTATTCATTAATTATTTTTTTTTTTAACCATTATACATTTATAACATTAATTTCACAATTTAGAATACAAAAAGTATAGACAACATCAACATGACCTAGATAGAATATTATATGGTTTATAATATTGATAGTTTTTACTAAATAAAAGCTTTAAAAAAATTTCTAATTTATAAAACAAATTATTATTAAACAAAAACTATTTTTTCATTTATTATGAGTTATATCAACTAAATATATATATATCAATAATATATCAATTTACCAATTATAGAACGTGAATTTAATGGATAAATATTTCTAGGCATAATAGGCTATAACAACACAATGTAAAATTATAATTTCGTTATGTTTATATCAAGCTAATTCAATAAATAATAAATATGATTTGTTAATTAAATCGTACGTTTAATTTAATTCAAATTCAGTAGATATTTGTGTTCTTTAATATTTTATTTTATTGAATATGCATCTTATATATTATGAATAAAATCATTTTATTAGACAAAAAAACTTTATATGTATTAAGTATTTATTAAGAGAAATTAATAAAAAATACGTTAAAGGAAAACACACAAACATCTAATACAAAAGTAGAAAGGAATTTTTTAAGGAACTTATAAGATATTTACCTCGCTAGGATGTATTATTATTTCTAAATTTTAACGAAGGCTAATAAACTTCTTTTTCTATGGGTATAAAAGTAAAATCAAACATATGTGAATATCTGCGAACTCGGAATAAAAATCGTAATTATGAATGTAATGTATTTAATTTTACCTATCGTATAATTTCTTA